TATATATATTCAGAACATTTCATGATATATTATAAAAAGTTCCTTTATTCATGTGAATAGTTCTTGTGATAGTAAGATAACTCACAAATAAGTGCTTGCTTGAATAAAAGCTGCAGAATTGCAACCTATGGGAATGAATTCAGCAGGGGTTTCTAAAGCATTCATCATTCTTAGTGAGTCTTAGACTTAGTTGATTAGGAATAATGCAAAATTATGTGGCATTTGTAAATCTTTACTATCATTTAGTATATACATACCTACAGCAAGTATCATTCACAGACTTATTTCAATGGAACCTGAAACCAGAGAAAAGCTTACAGGTTTCACTGAGAGCCCCAGAAGCCCTGAAGTGAATGGTTAGCAGAACTCAGTTATTTAGCAAGCACAGAGAAGTCACCAGTGCATTGTGTGACAGGGAATGGGAAAGCAGAACAGACCAGAATCTCATTTCTTCTCAGAGCTTTCCAGCTGAGTGTCAACTAAAATACCATATTTCCAAGAGAGGACTACTGTAGGGTAATGCATTAAAGTGAAAGCTCTCCACTTCAATATTTTTTATATTAAAAAAAAAAATAAATGTATTTATCAGAGAGAACCCTATAAAAAAAAAAACAAATGTGAGCATTTGATTAATCTGGCAACACTTAAGGGAAAGCTCTCTGATGGAAAAAAAATTAACTGTTTTAAAAAACTGGTTTAGGCGAACTTCTTTTATGTATCTTTATTAAATTTGAAGACCGTGACTTGGAAGTGGGAAAAGCACATTTTGCTTGTCAAAAATCAAGAGAATGTGGCATCGGAAGTGTTGGGGTGTGAAGCAGTCTGCAGGGCCAGGCTCACAGCAAGGAGCTTCAGAAAAGGTAATGAATGCCAAGGGGCTCTGAGAGACAGAAAGAACTCTAAGATAGCTTGATGGCTTGATTACCATGTCCTCACTGAATGAAATCGGTAAAAATGCTGCAAGATTCACACATTTGTTTTGCATTTTAATTGTAGTCTTTAATCTCTAAAAGACCAAGGCACAATAATTCCAAGTATCAGACCCAGGGAATCACCAAAACTAACAATCCAAATACATTAAGCTGTGTACTTATCATTAGTACCATTCATGCTTCTGTGCCTTCATTGATGAACGCATTCCTGGTTCCCAAAAGTCAGCCTCTGCTGTTACAGACAGAGCTGAAAGTGACGTTCTGTAGTTCATAGCCCTGAGCTCAATATCCATTATTGCTCCTTATGGCAATTTTGAAGATGTGCTTTATTTAAGGAAGCTTTTTTTCATCGAAATAACTGCAACAGATGTTTTATGTTCTATTTGTTTTGCTATGTGGTAGCACTGTAGAGAGAGATTAAATTAACTCCCCAAGTAATGCATTTCTAGGGTGAAACTAAACAAGAAGAAATCAAAACCTATGTCCAAGAGAAAACCAAGCATCTCTTCAAGGGACAGATATTTTTAGTGTTGCCTTTACTGGTTCTTTACATGGTGTTATTGCAAAAAGTGTGCATCACATTCCCAAAATCTGTGCACATTATCACATTGGTGATAATAAACTTCAGTTAATACTAAAACTATTATTAACTTACCTTTTTCTCCTGAATGACAATTCCTATATTCCTCTAATGATCATGTTTTTTATGTCTCAATAGTCCTTGTCTAATGTACAGATGGATATATATTACAGTTAAAGTATTACTGTAGGTGAGGATTGGCTTGCATAGCTAGAATGAAATTACTGTTCATTAAAGAATAGTAATAATTTATTTAACAAAATTTAAAAAAAAATTGAAATCTTGTTTGCAATTCCTTGAAGATGTGTTATGGAACCTATATTACACTACATGCATTTTGATGGACAAGGCTGCCCCAGGAACATTCCTTTTATAAAGTATTAATAGTAAAAAGATTATATTTTTTAAAGGTTTTTGTACACTGAGTAAATAAGCCCAAACACTGTACGATTTCAGTAGTGAAGTATGTCATGATTTCTGCCTTGCTTGTCATGATTAACAGAACGACAGATCCGCCCACAAGTCACTAGCACCATGACAAACCATGCTATGGCAGAACGACAACTTTTCTCATCTAAATGAAAAAAGACGTCAAGAAAGTGTCACTGTTCCCATATTGAAGTCTTCTGACAAAACAAAGCTAGCGACACCACAAGAGTCTCAACAGATGCCTTTTACTAAAACTTCAATTTGAGAAACATGCTTTAAACACAAGATATTCTCCAAGGCATTAATCATCAATAGGGATCCTGGGCCTGATTGTGTTCTCTGCTTTCCATGTCTGTATATATGGAGTTATTTTGATTATATCTCTGTTGGAGAATCAAACTATTTTGAACTGAACTAGTGGCACAGAACACATTTAAATGTGAGCTTGAGAACTTGTGAGCTATAGCAATGTAGATAATTTTTTGTATACAGCACATTTTTGTGCAGAGACCCTTATGCCCCACACATGAAAAAAAAAGCAACCAAGAACTCTGTTTGAACTGCTTTTAGCACAGCTAAATACTATTTAGGTTGAATTATTTCAGCATAGAGTAAGTTCTAACAGAAGGTTTGGGTTTTCTGGCCCCTGAGATAGTGACTTTAAGGGTGCTTCGTGCACACACTGAAACTCAGAGATACCAGAAGATAGAAGCTTGACATGTCAAGACAGAAGATAAACTGAGTTATACCAGTATATTGGTATATGTATTGGGCCATTGTCCTGTACAGAGGAAATTTATGTTAAAAATAATAAAGGCCAACAGAGATGTAGCCAGCTACAAAAGCTATGTTGAACATTTATACTGATACATCTGACAAAGCATGAGCTCACATTTAGGGAAGTGGTTAGTATGAATTTGTTGACACTCCCTTTCCTGCCCCTTTAGGCTGAGCTGTTGCTGTGTATCCAGCTGAGCCCAAGCCTGATTCTGTCTCTGATACATCAGAGCCCCCTGAGTCCACAGCATGGTCATTTGCAGGGCTCTCAGCTCTCCTTTTGTAGAAAAGGAGCAAAAGCACAGAGGGGTTAATGCAAGTTGTGCAAGGTTGTTTTGGGAGTCTGTGGCAGAGGTGGGGGTCCGATTTCATGCATCTGTCTGTCCTTTTTTGCAGTCTTGACCAGGAATGCTCATCATTTTTCATCAAAGAAATAACTGGTGGTATCTCAGCTAATCTTACCAGCTGCTGCTGTTGCTTTTTGAGATCAATATAGAGCATTTCCAGGTCCCTACAGTGAGGTTCCATGGTTTCTTAGCGGTGCTAAGAGGATCCCTGTGGTATGCTTCTGTTGTTTCTTAGCTGTGCTATGAAACCCTGGCAATTCATATCCCTTGCAGTGCTGTCCTCCCAGTGCACGCATATATACATCTCCTTCTGAGGCACATATGGGCACATTCTTCTGTTCTCTTTGCACATCATTTTCATTCCTTCCCATAATTTATTCATGCTAGTTTGTCAGCAAGTACTGTATTTCTGCCCATTCATTATTCAGTGGATGATAAAGATGGTAACACCAAACAGCACGAGGAAGAAATGCACCAGGGACTTGGTAGATTGGGGGGTTGTATGTGCAAGACTCAAGGAGATATTCCAGTTCATTCCCTGTCCTGGCAAACATTACTGCTTACTGAGGGGCTGATCCTTCCAGCCCTTGTGAGCCAAAATCCCATAGATGCCATCCTTTGTAATGAGGACTTGCAGTTTCAGATCCTTGGAGCACAAGGTTTTCTTTAGCTACCTGAAAAGGGGACCCAGGCTTCTCTTCAGTGTCTTCAGAGGCAGTTGCAGGTGGTGGCTCTGTCAAGACACTGAGTAACACCTGGCTGCAGGTCTGTAATTAGCAGCACTGATGTGAATAAACCTTTTCACAGCTTTAAAATTCAGCACATGTACAGGCTCAGGACCTGACTGTGTGTGTTTTGTGTGGAGCAGTTGCTCAGTGCTAAGGTAAATGTCTCTGTTCCTACCAGAGGTTTTCTTCTAGCTGAAGTAGCAAAGTTGAAAAATACTAAATCTGTGTGGGAATGGTAAAAAGTACAGTAAGTTGTTAATTGTTTGGAGATACAATTTACCCCCACTGATTTTTACCTGCCAGATGCATTTGAACATCAGCAATGAGGACATCCAAAGGAACCTGCAGGTTAGTTTTTGTATGTCATAAGAAGTTAAAAGCTAAAGTGTATCACATCCCATAGTTTTGAGTCTCTGTGACTATATGAATGAAGTTAAATTTGACTCACTTTCTATAAGCTTTCAACTCCCTTGCCTTGTTAAAGAACTAAACTAACTGAAATTTGGTACCTTAAAATGAGGTATTAAAACAAAATAATTTGATGGATGGAGAAGTATGTGTTGCTTGTTGATATTTTATTGGAGAATAGGAAATGGACCTTCCTGTTTGGTTTTGGAATTGCATGATATCCAGACTTCCAGAAGAACATTATTTCCTGGACAATTCCTCTCATGTTTTTTTTTTAAGTATCCTAATTAATTATTGTTAATAATTAATAATCTTCAAGCCTTATAGACCTGTTGCTTTTGAGTGTTACAATTTAAAATACACAAATTAGACAGGAAACAAAGGCAAATACACAATTAATCTCAGAGAATGAAGTAAATTTAGATGACCTCTACTTAGATTACTGGTGTGTTAGATTTTTAGAATATGAATGTAAAGACTGTTTTCAAGATTACTAATGTTTTCCATAAGCTGTCATTAAAAGATATATAGCAGCATGTATTACAGTGAAGTAGAGGAGGCCACTTATTAATGGTGTTCTTCAAAAGGTTAAAAAAAAAAAATCTAATGGATGTAATGATATTATAGCTCCCTTATAACTTCACAGAGATATATAGATAATTTTGGAAACATATTTACATCCAGGACTGATAGCACAAGTTCTTAAAGACTGCTGCAGTTCTCTAATACCTTTGTTGGCAAAATGGTGTTTTGACTTGCCATGGAAGCTCTCTCCTCTGAGAAAACAAAAATGGGTCTACCCTTTTGCTGAAGTGAAAAATAATCAGCTGCAATGCTCCTGGATCTCCTTATACAAAGAGGATTTTTCTAAGGAGTGAGTGACTTCTTTTAGGTCTCTAACATTTAGATGGGGATAGGCTAAAGTTAAATTTATGGAGAGACACTTAATCACCAAAGGTTGTATAATAAGGTGATAGAGTTACACAGACGTTATTTTGGGACATTCCATTCCCATCAGTGCTTTGAGAAGGATCAAGATGAGTTATTGATAATGTTACTGTGTAGAGGAAGGCATCTTTTATTACCTTATTTGCACATATACTTCAGTTCCGTCTTTTCCCAGGGTGCTGGCTGTGTTCTTCCTTCCCTGATGAAGTTTTACATGATAAAATGCCTGTGAGGGAGTGCTTTCTGTCTTCAAGAGTCCCAGGAAAGTGTGGTTAGTTTTCTTAGAATGTTATGTAGGAACTCATTTACTTATTTGCACAGTAGGAACCTCTCTCCTCAGTCAATCAAGCAATGCTTGGCAGAAGGGTTACAGAAGGGTATATTAACAGATGCAACCTAATTTTGCAAATACTGCTTCTGCTCTGTTGTCAAGGATAAAAACTACATCACACTGCATTAAAATATTTACTACTGTGTTGCATGCTTTGACATAGATGTAGGGGTTTTTATTTCTCCTTGCATAAATGGCATCTGTGTTCACTGTCCTGTGACATTTCTTGCTTAAAAAAAGCCCTCATGTGAATAAACTATTCACACATCCATTTTTAATGTGACAGAAATGTGTAAATAAATTAGATTCTGAGAAAAAGAAAACGCAACAGCTGTTACACTTAGGGAATAGGATGCTGGGTTAGGACTAAATCTTATGTCCATTGGTGAGCTAATATTAAATTTGTGCTCTTCAAAGGAGGAAGTATTAGAGGAAAGACTAGTTCCCTTCATCCTGAAAGCAATGTGTTGATTGGATCAGCAAGACAGATTTGAAGTATATTCCAATGGCACTTTGGATGTCTGAGCTCTAGATACAAGTCTCTGCTTTGCTGCTATCCCAGATGAGTTAGTTCTCTGCTTTTGGACTATTTAACATGCACCATGAAAAAGCCACTGATGGTATAAAATGGTGCTCTTCTGATATTGAATATTGAGAAAACTGCCCCAGAAAAATTAACCATCTCATGGTTTGTTCACTTATCTGAACATAACATCACAGTTTGAATCCAAATGAACTATTCAGGTGAGACTGGAATATCCCTGGACATCACAGTTTGAATCCAAATGAACTATTCAGGTGAGACTGGAATATCCCTGGAGGTTGTCCAAGCTGACAATCATGGGACATACAACCTTTTTGTGACTCTTGATAAGTTTTTGAGAAGTATCTCTTCCCTGAGTAGAGTAGGACAAGCAGCAAAATTATCTACATAGTCTGAGTAAATCATAAGATAACTGAGGGGGTTTTTTTATTCATTTTCTCTTTGTATTGATGAGTTAACCTTCTATTTTTTGCAACAGTTTTTCAGGTTAGAATTGAGAGACTCATTAATAACTAGGTAAAATTAGAGAGAGAAAAAAAGCAAAGTATCATGACAGCTCTCTGTTTTGCTTCCTATTTCAAACTAGGCTGGCCATGTCTGTGGAGATAACATAGACCTAGTTGATGGACGTCCCACTGGCTCTGTGAGAATATCCTTTGGCTACATGTCTTCTTTTGAAGATGCACAGACTTTCCTGAATTTCATCATAGCCACCAGACTCTCCAAATCGGATGCTGAGATTCCTTTCCAGTCTGCTACAAAGCTGACGGCAGAGTCTGTTCCAGATGACCACCTTTCTTTTAACAAGGCAGATAAATTGTCTCCAGCACTGCAAATCTCTGACAGAGAGCTCAGGAATATTCCATCTGAGGCAGAGACAACTGGCAGCTGGCAGCCACTGGAGCCTGAGGCAGAAAGCATAAGGGCAGCTGTTTCTGAGACTGCAGTGCCAACATGCAGAAAAGGTGGCAAGCCCATCACTGTCGCCAAAATTTACCTCTACCCAATCAAATCCTGCTCTGCGTTTGAGGTACGTGCTTTGAACCATTTGGAAGTATTTGTGCAGCTCAGCCTTGTGTTTTTCATCAGACACATGTGTGTGAGATACTAGGAAGCAGTGTGTGGGTGCCCATGTTTCCCTTTTTTCAAGTTTCTGGGATCAAGTCCCACGTGTCTGGCTATATTGAAGGATTTTCAGGTAGGCTGAAGTTACAGGGGAGGGGTAAATGTATCTTCTGCTCTCCTCTCCCCCACAACAGGCACATATTATGCTGTCTTGAAGAAAATAGTTTGATTTGCAAAACTTTACTAAAATATAATCAAGTAATTAGTATGCTTTTACAAAATTGACATGTGATGGACTTGTAGGCATTGATGGGTAGGCAGCAATTGAGAAATAACTTGATTAAAATGTTATAATTGAGAGGCAGCTGATTTACATTACAAAGAAATGTTATCATTAAAAATACATTTGCAACAGAAATATGACATTTAAGTGTTGCTATGCTATTTGAAAGTTCACTCTTTGAAGATTTTAATTGCTTTTTTACCAAGTTAATAATATCACCACCTTAGCTATGACTTTTTTTTTAAAATAATGCCTGATGAAATAGGTGTATGGGCCCACACATGACCTAGACTGTCATTCTTCTCAGTACCATACTGGGAAGTGATTTAATGAATGTCAATAATGGTATAACTTTCCCTAGGAAAACTTAGTGGTGTAGGTCAGTGTCTCACATCTGAGAGAAAATTGGGGTCAAATCCAGTGACAAATCCCCTGCATTTTAAATAGGGCTTCTCAGCTGATTTGACCATGTTTTGTTGGGTTTTTTTCTCAGTGCAGAGGTTGGGCAATTAAACACTATTAAATGATCAAGAAAACATCTGTATTTTTAAATTCGGGTTGGCTTATGATGTCTTTAATTCAGAGGAACAGTCCTGAGCATTAAATGAGATATGAACAAACAATATCCACCCCTTATTAACCTCCCACTAGATCAAAATGTTTAGAAAATCAAATTAATTGCCCATTTCATGTGAAAAATTTTTAACCTTTGCTGAAGTGTGGCAGCTTTTGCAGCTGTATTACAGAAGAAGCTGTGTAGAAGCTGCTGAAATACGTTGGCAGTATTCATGCACCTTTTGGGGTTAAGTTCTATTTTTGATGTACAGGCTGGTGGTGTGAGATACACGCCACAACATTCAGTGCTAGGAAGGCTTTGAAGTGATTGTGCCCAGGAGCAGGTACGACATACCTCAGCATGAAAGAAAGCTTATATTTCCCCACAAGCTGAGCCAGGTTTCTCCTCTTCAAGCTCCGTGAGGGGAAAACAGCTTTAGGAGATAAATTCACACAAACCCGGTATTCCCCGGCAGACAGGACTGCAATTCTTCATGGAGGGGGGAAATCCCCATGGCTCATGCAAAGTGCTTGTGCCAAGCATGTGTTAATGGGCCCAGAGTGAAAACAGGGCTCATCTTACCTCAGCTTCCACCTCTCCAGTTCAACAGTGTTCTGTAAGCAGTGAGGGCTTAAGATATGATATGATATATGATATGATATATGATATGATACCTGCTTATTCATTTTAGCAAAAAATAGGCATCTGCAAGAATAAATTTTCCTGGATATTTCTGTTCATTGACTGCAAGAGGAATCCAAGGCAACTTAGATTATGCAGCAAACACTAGCTGATCTGAATAATTTAAATATAGATATAAAAACTGCAGCTACATTATGAGGTTTAATTTTGCATGTCTAGAGTAATTTTTGAAGTCTGTTTTGATTTTTTTATGACAAAGTCACAGCCACATAAGAGCCCTGTAATTTAAGCACTGTCAGAGCTTGTATTGCCAAAGAGAAACAGAAAATTAAGTAAATACTGGATTTAGTGTATGGTATTGGAAGGGACTGGAATTTCACTATAAAGAGCATTTAGCTCTTCTCCTTCTCTAAAAGAAAAAGTATTTTTTGTGTATTTCCACATGGTTTCCATGTGGTTTATGGAAGATACTTGAGTGCATGTGAAAGCACAGTAAAAGTTGATCTAACAAATCCACTAGGAAAGGGCTTTCACTGCATTGGGAGAGCAGGCTAGGAGTTGAAGTCAAAAGAGTATTTTGATTTTGATGGGTCGTTTATATTGAAGCAAATCTTTGTAAAAAATAAGTTTGTTTTTGTGACCTTCTTCCTGTCCACCAGATGTTCTTCATGTTTTTTCTTCCCAAAAGTCTGACTGGAACTTCTAGACCTATCATACATTTATAACCAGCCCGTGAAGGATCTGCCAATCTCACTGTCTGTCTATAGAAGAGATAAAAATGCCATCTTAGAGACCACCATTTGTAAAATGACTTTTAAAATTCAATTAATCCCATTCTAAATCACCAAGTGACTTAGTCTCTTCCCAATGAGCAAGGGTAGAATAGAAAGCAATGCCTGCCAGGACCCAAATCCTGCAGAGTGCACTAACCTCCAATATGTATCTATATATATGTGTGTGTGTGTGTGTGTTTTTATATGTCATTACTGCAGCTTCAGCCTGTATCACCTTGAAATGGGAAAACAATGTATGTCACATGCACTGGAGTTTGAAGCAAGACATGCTAGAGAAGAAGCCTTACCACAACTAAATGGAGTCAAATTCTAGAAATCATTTTGCCTTCTAAAATATTGATTTACTAGAATCTCTAGGCTTTATATTGAAAAGACTGAATCATATGCAGAACTTTTCTTTTGCCACTTGTTTAGTGTTTTTTTTTCACAGACTTCAGACAACATTATATTATCTCCTTACTTCAGGAAATGCATAAACTTCTGCAGTAGTAATCATGTAGCTTTAGTCTTTGATTGGAATCCAAGAATTGAAATTCAGTGTCTTGTTTTTAATCTAAAATAGCTTTAGATGCTTTGTAGTTGCTGGAAATCTAGAACAGTATTTTCCCAATTAAAAATTTTATCTCCGTGTTTATCAGTTATTGGGTAACTCTCAGCTAGCTGATATGCAAAGCTAATTGCGGTTCAAATACGGAGCTCTAGTAAATTCACTCACCTTGTAATACTTTGATACTTGAGATCAGAAGCTCATAGGTTTGTAGGTTCAAGTGCAGGCCTCCTGCTGGTATGGGAGGTCAGACCTTTAGCATGTGTAGTAATTAGGGCTTATTGTAACTATATGATCACTTGAGTTTTCCTTAAATAATACGTGCAGTGGAAAATTCCAGATAGCTGTGTGCAGGACTCAGCCCATCTGCCAGTGAATTCTGCCCACAGACTTGCTGGTTGCAGGATAGATGATTAGTGTCAGGAGGACAAACTTGAGGAGGATGTGAGTGCAAGCTCACAGCTGTTTGATCTCCTCTTTAGAGGCACATAATCTCCTCCTCTCCTAAACTCTGATTTCTCTGTTCTATTCTAAGTGGTTAAGTACGAGAGGTTCTTGACCTCCAGAGAAAATGAAAGTGCAGAGTGTTTTGGCAGCTGGGAAGATGAAACTTGACATGAAGATTGCCAGCTCACTGCAGGTTGGGTGGTTTCTGCAGAATTTTATGATGTGTTCCTGGCCACTGTTGTCCCATGGATTTTGTACACATGGTGCAGAAAGCAGAGGGCAGAATTTTCTAACTCAATTTCTCAAAGGTGTTTTCCCTACAATTATTTTATTAAATGGAGAAAAGCAGAGGAGTAACCTCTATCCAAGACCACTCTCTTTTTTCCAACATAAAAATGTGTTTTAAACCTGCATTTTTAAACAGGAACATCTCTCATGTCAGTGACTTCTGCATAATTATATAATGCAATGTGCTCAGTGAAAGAGGTTAGGAATTTAAACTAATAACTAATTAATAACTTTATTATTCTTGCAGTAGATTTCAGAGTATAAAAAGTTACGTCTCAATGGAAAAGAAAAACTAGCTTTTAATTTAAAATACAGTGCAAGTTCCTAGTGATCAGTGGATAAATTATATGTAAGACCACTAATATTTTTAAACTTAGATAATTTAAAGCCTTTTCAGTGATTTCTTGAATGTGTTCAAAAACTGTGTTAGACTTCATGATATTACTGTGAACTATGGGAGAAATGCAGCCCAAAATATTTTACAGAAAATTCTGAAATAGAAACCAAAAAAACCCACATGTTTTTGCAGTGGCTATTTTTATTTTGTGATAAGAAAAGATCAGTAAATCAGATGGGACAATACCAAGTACTGGCTGTATTATGCAATGGTCCTTGTGACTGGTAGAGAAGACCTTACATTGAATGATTCTGGGATGCATCATCACCTTCCACATTTGGAATGAATGTGCATGCTGGTATCTGTCAGTAAAACCATGCTCTCCCTGCTTTCCTTCTGCCCTCCCACTTCTAATTTGTCCCAGTAGCCAGAGATGGCCAGGCAACTTCAGGGAATCACATTACAGGCTATATAATGCACTACTGCTCTCTGCCACATATGCTAACCTGCTCTATTTTACTTTATTTAACAGTCTCTTCAGGTCCTTTGAAATAAGGGCAGGATATGCTCTGTACAGGCCACAGGTCTCAGTGCTGAGAGAATAAATGAATGTGTTCTTCTTTGCTCATCTCCAGGGTCAGTATTAGCAGCAAACCAGTTCTGGCTGTTTAGAGCCATCTGTGACTCTCCATCCAAGGCAGGGCACAGTTGTTTTGTTGTTGCAGCTTTCTCTAGCAGGGTCCTAGCAACATGTGCAATACAGTGAGCTGAGACATGGAGAGAGAGCTGGGCACTTGACAGCGCACAGAGGACATCCATGACAGGACAGGGACTCACTGCAGGCACACCTGTGTGACTCTCACTACAGTGGCATATACCCAGAGGAAGGGGGAAAAGTGGGTTGATGACCTGCAGTCATGCGCTGCATCACATTTGTGGTGTGACTGAAACATGGAGTTAGTTGCCATTATTTTGGACCTGTCAGAGCTATCTTGAGTAGATGGTGTTGATTATTTCCAAATACCTGATAGGTACTTAGCTGGCCTTACCCTTGAATGCCTGTCAGAACTACCTGAAGCTCTGATTAAAGAGAGGTTTTGTTTTGCTCATAAAACCTCTTGCCTTCAGTGGAGGATAAACAAATGCTTAAGCTGTTTCCTGAATAAGATTGCTGTCCTGAACTGGAACCAAAAAAAACAGAACGTTGCAATAGGGAACTGAAAAACTTTGTGCTCTTTTTCTATTTTCTGCTTTCTTAGTTTATTCTGCTCTCTATATCTTGCAAATCCTGTAAAGATCTGTTGGATTCACGGGAGGATGTATTACCAATTAATGATCTTCTTTTTTGGAAGGGAGATTTGTTAGCAGGAAATTCTTGCAGCTCTCAGATGATCACCAGCTGTTCAAATGCATTTTGTAGTCTAATTATACAGGATAACCAAAAATGCTGGTCTCTCCAAAGAATAATTTCCACTAAGAACAAAAGTGTGTTCTTCAGCTGATATTGCAGTGTTTGGGCTGTGATTCCTCTCCTGAAAAAGACAAAGGTTCACATAGCTGAGGAGCTGACAGTTTGAGGTACTTGGATAGTGTGATTTCAGATTACACTGTCAGACCAAAAATTTCTATTTATCGCTGAATTTTTCATCCACACTTGCATAAAAAAATGCCAAATAATATTATAAATCAAATGGGTTGATAGAACACTTTTCTTCTCTTAATTTTCTTTTTCCTTTCCATTTTCTGTATTCAGTTTATTTGTTAGCACTGTGAAATTATTTTCAGTTCAGCTTTGATGCTTTTAAGTTTTCTGTTCTAGCATGCCTGCCCATAGCTTTCTATAGTCAGGCTGTCAGTGTCAAACTGCTGCTACAGGCTTTTATAAAAACAGGAAAAGTTTATGTGATACTTTAGGGTCTGTCAAGTTTTGGGATGATCACGTGATAAACAAGAATGTGTTTTTTAATTAATCTAGCCAGTGCTTCCAGACATGCTATTCTTCATAGCATCAGGCTGTGCTTGACATATCTTTTACTCAATATTTTTTTTCTGAAGTCTTTTGTTGGCTAATTTATGTGAGATGTATTCAGCTTTTCTATAAGAATTCAATGAAGTTCAGCTGTAAACTTTTCTCCATATTCAACTGTGACTAGAAAGCATACGTGAGTTGAAGAATGTGTTAGTGGCCAGCTTTATGTTACAAGAATGGCATTAATATTTTAACATTCTGAAGAAGAAAGCAGATATTAATGTCACCCAAAGGCAGTACTAAAATTGCTCTCTTTTTGGAGTTCAAGATTACCATCTGTGTAGCATCAGAAACAGATGTTCTTTTCACCAGAAAAATGTATGTGAAAGCAAGGACAATGTTCTTGTATGGGCTATTGAATGTAAAGACTGTTATAGAAGTAATGGAAGAACAGACAGTAAAAAAGACAATGTGTTTTGTTGTAAGGGAATCTAAAGAAATTGTTATTATCCCAGCTAAACAAGAAGCTTCAGTGACGGAGATTTTCTCAAATGGATTAATGGAAAAAGTGGTCCCATTTTATGAAAAACAAGTTTTTTCAGAACTTTGAATATCACAGTTTTCTTGCTTTCTGTTTGCTTGGTTTTGCCTTAGTTCATAAAATTTCTGTGCTTTGTAAGTTAAATAAAAATTTCTGGGTCAATAGGTCCTAAACATGGATGAATATAAAATTGAAGACAGTTTTCAGAGTGTTTTGGAGATTGTTGATTCTTATAGCTCTGTTAAACTGTATGATAATATCTAACAACTTAGAGTAATTTGATTTTTTTTTTGTCAGCTTTGTGCAGTGATGTCTTTGTCTTTGATTTGCAATTAAGGTTTCTCTTACAGAAAGCTGACATTGGCTTGCATAAGTTTTCCTGATTTCAACGAGTTTTATTAATGGATTCTTTTCCCTCTCTTTTCTTTTCAGCATGAATCTATTAATGCAGCTAACATTTTTAAACACTTGTACCCCCTCCTAATGCTTTCCCAGGTTACAGAATGGCCAGTAGGAAACCAGGGTTTGCTGTATGACCGAAACTGGATGGTTGTAAACCAGAATGGAGTCTGCATGACTCAGAAGCAGGAGCCAAGGCTGTGTCTTGTGAATCCCTCAATTGATCTGAAGCAAAAAATTATGGTCATCCAAGCAGAAGGTTAGTAAACAATATCCTTTCCTTCCCTTCTTTATTGGTGTCAGACTTCTAGGCAGGGACACCTGCATGCTCCCACCAAACCACTGAATGCTGTGCTTGCTTACTGGTGACTTTAGGGACAAGTTCTGTGCCAGCTGTGGACTATGGAAGCCCAATATGTAGCCTGGGGGGTTTCCTAACTGATTGTCGAGGTAGGCAGAGAGTAGACAGAGACTCCCTATGTGCAGTCATATACTGAATTCTCCAGGATGGAGAAAGGAACAGACAGATGTGGGAATTTACTAACTAGTGTCTCTCCATAGCATGAAGTCCCATAGCCTGAAGGGATTGTTAATGCTACAAAGGTAAAGGAATAGAAGTCTAACATTAAACACCCCGGCCAAAACACTTCCCATTTTGTATCTCTCTTCCTCCTTCCAGGTGTGGGATAAAGAGGGTTAGAGTCTTCAGTGGAAATTAGTATTCAGTGGAAATTAGCCAGACATTATTTAACTCAGTTAAATACTTGCACTAGCAGGCAATATTTCATGATGTTTGAACTTCCTGGGAATTATTAAAATCCTTTTTATTTGCTGCTGAGGGGAAAAAAAAAAGAAAAAAAATATGTAAAGAATATGTTACAGAAAGCCCTGTGCTACTCAGAGGTGCAAATTATTACTTTTCATAACTGTGCCGTTGCCACTGAACACTGGAACAGGTTTGAATATCACAGAAATCATTACTAGTGCTGAGTCTGCATGTCTGAATGGTGTTCATCATTTCCCTGGGGTCCAGCATTTACTCAGCCCGTGTGTTTTAACTATTAATAATATATGTGCCCACATTTTCAACAGCTAGAGCAAAACAAGGGAACCTATCTTCAGATTTTTCACCCTTTATTAGAAACCCATATGAGTGGATCTGTAGCCACAGTCTCCTTTCTGTGCGTACAGTAGGGTTGTTGTCGTCTCCACCTGTCTGAGCACTCTCCGTAGAATTAAATCTGACTCGTTGATTCTTTTTGTCTGAAATAGGTTTCTCAAACATACATTTTGATACTTCCACTTATCATGTGCTATTTTCTGTGTTTCCAATCCCAAACACCATCTACCCTCTTCTTAGGGATTCCAGACTTGCCCACTGGCACATACACTGCTGTTTTCCCCTCTTTCCTCCATACTATTTCTTTGAAAATCTACCATTAACTCATTTCAATTCTGTGTGGAGCACCTTGCACCTCAAATTTTTGTAGTACAGTTGCACAGACAGCTTTCTCCCACAACTTTTAAATTATCAAGTGTTTCAGAACTAATTATTTCTAGAGATTTATTTCCTTACCATCTCTCTTCCTTTTTGACCATTCTGAGTCTGTCCCTCATTTTTTCTCCTTGCTAGCAATCCTTCAGACAAGTGTATACCCATTAGTACGTTCACCTGTCAATAACACCTGACATGCTTCAGGGAGTCAGGAGGAAGTTTTCTCACATAAAAATGACAGTCAAGGCACCCATTTCGCACTGAGATTTACAATTTCTTGCCACAGTTAGTGCCAGGCTGAAATTTGCCTTTAAATTCTACATTTTACTCTGTGTCTTTTTTTGAGTTTTCACTGTCGTTTCCCTTCCTTCCAATGAAAGGGAGAACCATTTTCACACAGAAGTGATTGTCCAAGTCTATTGATCACTTTTCTACACAAAAGTAATTGATCAGTATGCTCTAACAAGAGTGTTATTGCCATTTATTCACAGCCTGCTTTGGTACAGCCAGTGTGTAAGAATGGAGTCATTTTATTCTTTGTATAATGACTTTAGCTACCAAAATCCTAGCCCATGAGATGATCTGGGCCTCTTTTCTAGTAGTCCTGCTGTTTTTTACTCTCATGGTGTTGTTGAGACCTGTGGCATTTTTTAAAATTCTTGACAATGAGATAATGGCTCTCTTTTCCTTGGGGAATCTATTCCAGAGCTTACTGCTCCTAAGATGGCACATTGATGGGAGCACATACAAACCAGCAGGGTAAGACTGAGCAGATAAATATGTAGGAAGTTGTTCCAATATTTATTATGTTTTCTTTCTTCTTACCTGCAGTCTAAATCCATTATTTGTTGTTTGTTGGTGTTAAATTTTTAATTTTTTTTCTTTTATCCCTTCACAAACATGGATCAGTGTTGTATCTTCCACTTAAATCATTTAATGGCAGGCAAATTTAATTTAATAAACTGACTCTTTACTTGAAAATCTCATGTTAATCCCTTCTGCTTTTGTCACCACTCCTCCAGCCTGTCCATTGCTGGTTGCAGATGTGAGACCTGAAGCTGAATGCTGCATGTGAGCAGTGATCTGTGTGGTGAGGAGCAGTGGAGCTCGGTTGAGCCGGGCTGGTTGTTCTGAAGCTCAGAACCTTCACTGCCTGTGTCGGTGGCTGATGTTATTTCAGATCCATAGCTCTTGGCCTGCTGACTAACAGCCACCTCCAGATCTCCTCCCGCTTCGCTCCTTCATCCGCATGGAACGCCACCCACCCAAACCGCCTTTCCTCAGCCAGCATGCATCTTTCCAAGATGAGTTTTGTTTCCCCCATCTCTCCTCCCCCTGCCCTCACAGTCCCTGTGCTGAGTTTCTCTGTTCTTTCCATTTCTGCAATGCCCTTGCTTTGGTGGCTGTGCAGAGCCAGCGGCTCCAGCTGTCCGGTGACCGGTGCAGTCCGGCTGTCTCCCCTCTGCAGGAGCTGTAACCACTGTGTTTTCTCTGCCAGCTCTGCTCTACCTGCGCTTTGCTCACTGTGGGAGCAGCCCAGAGCGTGCTTTGCTGGCTGGAGGCGCCTCTCTCCAAAAGAGAGAGCCTAAGGCAACTGTGCTGCTGGAATAGGTCTCTGGTAAGTGCCTAAAGCCGAGTGGGCCAAATCCCACCAGCTACTTTCCACCAGCTGAAGTACACGGCATTTTTTAAGAGCATGTTGCTGTTACACTATTAGGTTATGGTGAAGACTTTATCTGTGGCACTTTTAAAACATAATGAGTCTGTTCTCTCTTCCCCTCCAGGCACATGCTTTCCTCTCCCTCTAGAACTCTTCATTAGCGGAAAATTTGTTTATGGCTATTTTATTTCAATGTGGCTTGACATTCTCTGCCTTCTCTGTCCAAGAAAAAAATTGTCAGCATGGTTTAGTGCGACTGTAACTATTTTAACACCTTTTGCTGAATTCTCTATGCACTGAGACACCCTTTCAGGGCTGTTCTTTAATCCCTGCATGTTGGGTGTCTGTCGCCTCAGATGTGGATGGGCAGAAGCTGCTGTCTGACCAACCCAGCTGTACAGTCCTGCCACCACTGTGAGTAGCAAGGATGGCAGAGTGGGGCTCTACACAAGCCCAAAGCTGCCTGAAGGCTTAGGATCTTTGCCTGGCATGCCTGCAAAATTAGTTGGCTTGCATGACAGCTGGGGAGCTCCAGGTATTTCCCAGATCTCTGATGAAGGGGTTGAGACCAGAGGGAGAGGAAGGACTTGTGCGTGCTCTCTCACCAGCTGTACTTTTCTTCAGCAGACGGGGTAAGATTTTAATTTTGAGAAACTGCATTTATGAATTCGTCAGAATTATTTTCTTAAGCTAGGGGATTGTTAACAGGCATTTCCTATTTTGTCTACTATTAAGAGCGCAACAAAGCCTTGCTATCACAGAACCCACTTAGAGGAAAATCAGTGTACCTAACTCTGAATCAGCCCCCATGGAAAGAAACTACTTGTGTCTTGACTGAAGTTATTTGAGGTTTGGCTCCCAGTAACTTGAAGGTGGGCAGGAGCAAGTGTCTTCATTTCCAGAAATCCTATTACTTGCGTGAGAACCAAGGGAAATCTCCTTGTCCTCCTCCATCAAATACGTGGGAGCACAGATTACATTGCACTTGTTTCTGACCTACACAAATGTGTAGCCAAACAGAATTTGGCTGAAAATACATGTTTGGAAAAGACTAATTTCTCTCTTTCCATTTTAGCTAACAATCAGCATTAGTCTGGCAAGTTGGGCATTAGTTTGCCACTGCACAGTGGGAGAAATTCTGAGTGTCGAGGAGGTATTTTAAAATATTGGAGTAGAAAGATGCTAGCAAAACTGAGCAGCTAATTGCACTTTATGGAGTTTATTGTGCCTTCAAATAGTCATGTGTTACTGCCAATAAAAATAATGGGAATTAAGTGCATACACTGATGAAAGAATATACATGAATGGTTTATATTTCAGTCTATTGAAATAACAGATTTCTAATTTTCCTCATTGACTGAAAATAGGAGCTATAACGATAAGATTTTTTTTTTTTATATTAATACTGTGAGCACATCTGTGAATTTTATTATCAAGTAAATGTCCATGGAGAATGACACTTTTACATTTTAGTAAATGGCAATATTCTACTTTATTTTTTTTGCCTTAAAGATAGAATAAAATTGTAATTAACAATGTTTAACTGACCTAAACATCATTGTAAAATGTGTACTGTTCAATAAAAATGTGATACACTTGCTGGTGTATAAAAGCCTTTTTTAAAGCCCTGAAATTCCATTTTAAGAAATTTTGTGCGTTTGCCTTTCTTAGAAAATGTTTGAAATATATAACAGTTAAGAATGCATGAAAGATGAAAAATTTCAAACTCTTATTTTTCAGAAGTAATGATGTTAATGTTTAATTGTTTCAAGTCCAAGAGTTCTAGTCAAGGAGACAGTAACATTGGCTTTTTTCAGATTGTTACAGGGTGGTTCAAAGCATTTATTACATGTTTTTGCATTATTTTCCTAAGTGAACCCAACTTTTCCCTCTCTGTCTTCACTTATGACATATACTAACATAATTAACCAAAGAAGAAGTAGACCACTTTCTATTTTGTAAAATATTCATGAAACAGAGTTGATAGTCATGTTACAATGAATCTGAGCTACATTTCATTACTCTTCAGAAGAAAATAAGGCAACTTGATTTCGCCATATCACAGAGCTGGTAGAGCATGATTCTTATTTGTTTTACAATATTACATAATGTCAAAATGTGTTTTTATAATTCTAGGAAATTGGGGGGAGGGGGGGCGGGTGTCAAAGTCTTGGTTAATATCTGTTGCAGTGTAATGGAAAAGCTGGATGGATTGCAGCCACACAGTAAAAAGACTTGGTTCTTCATTTAAGATTATTGTTTTCAATTCACATAAAGAAAAGTAGTCCAGCTTTTCTTTTTGGTTCTAGCAAACTACAGTACCCTTTCCATCTCTTTGGTTTATTCTGTTCAAGATGAGAAAAATGTGGGAGAAGTTGTTAAGATAGATCATTACCAGGGAATCCTCTGCTGGTTTAAACTTGGAGATGAATAGATGGGAATGATTGCCTCATTCTCAGTTTTCAATAAATTTTGTCATTAAATTATTGTAGTTTTATCTCAGAGTATATTTCTTTTTTTGAACAGTGCCTCGTTTTGAATTGTGCCTGTTTTTTCTTTCCCCCTTCTCCATCTTTCATCTTTCAGATCACTCAATCCCTCTAGTCCAACATGATAGTGTCTAACATAATCTCCTGACTTGTCAGAGGAGCCATCCTTCCAACAGAAACCATGGCTGAGGCCATAATACTGTGCCATTTTTGTTGTCTGAGATAAACAGAGAAGGAAGTTACTCAAAGCTGAAATTATTATTATTTTTTTTTTAATATGCTTTGAGTACCAAGGTCATCTGCAGCCTTTGCGCTTTGTTTTATCATTTGGAGCCACCTGCCGGCAGAGAATATAATTCTAGCAAAAAGAAAAAATATTATTTTTTTATTTGCTGTTTGTAAGGCTACTGTGACTGTGAAAAGAAGCAAAAATAAGAACTTTTTTCATAATCCTATCATTCTTCATACATTTTTTTTATTTAAATATGACTTTCTCTCTGTTCACCTAGGCATGGACCCAATATCTGTGCCGCTAGAAGACAATACTAGAAAAGAGGCTGTGATCTGTGACAGTAAAGTCTGTTCACACAGGTAAGTGAGAGCAGAGAGGTACTGAAGCTGAAAATCTCTGTAGTGACACTCAGGATGTGGACAGATGTACACAGAAGTCCTTGAAAAAATGGTGGAAAGCAATGAATGATTAGTGGACCAGGAGAATGGTCCTATTTAAATTTATACATTTAAATAAACTTATTTAAATAAGTAAGTTGTCATGCCCAGCATGTCTGATAGAAAACAGTAAAAAAAAAAAAAAACTTTAAAAGGAGAGGAAGGACAGTACAGTAAACTGACTTACCCTCACTGGAATGAGTGAGAGTTTTTTTTACTTGCTCCAAGCATGAGAAAAGGAGAAGGTGTCCCCAGTTGCCTCCAAATGCCAACTGGGGGTCTCAGAAGGATTTGAATTCAGTTCCCACATTTAATAGTGATGATGCTGGCATCTTTGCCCATTTCACTGCATGGATTTAAAATTACTAGAAGCTTCTAAAGTTATAAATAGCTTTCCATATTTATAGCCCTTTTTAATTTTGTTTTGACCACCCATGTCGTTCAGTGTCCCCTTAACAATCTTGACGCACAGGTATGTAAGTTAAATAACATTAATTCTAATCAAGAGACATACCACTTCAGTGAATATAGCATTATGAATAAATTTATTTCCTATCCATAAACTTAAGTGTTTATTCATCATATTTTCTAAGAACTTCCCGCAGTCTCATTAAGTTTTTTGAGTGGCAGTGTATCAAGTGCCTTCCTAAAGTACATTTGCATCATCTACTATGTTTCTTTTCAATGAGTCTCTCGGTAAGTCAAACTAAAAGAGCCACTTAAAGATTTATGTCTTCCTTTCACCAAGGTATACTAATTCTTTGTAACCCTCTACGTTTGCTTCTCTGAGTAACACATAAACAAACCAACAGAAGACCTGGAAATTTCCCTATGGAGCCATGCAGAAAATTATCCTCTCCTTCTTTTCTACTAGCTATTCAGATGATAAAGAGGATCTTTTCCTCAGAAGTGTATTTTCTTCAGGTAGTGGAATCCACCCAAGAGTCATTTGTTTTAACCATCTGTCCCACTTCCCTTAGTGTTGACTCATCCCTAGCCTCCCCATGGTAAGCCCATCTATTACAGGCTGTAAAACAGCCTGAGTTATCTTTCTCTCTGTGTGCATAAAATTTGTTGCCATACTGTTTATTGTAGCTTTTCTTTCAAGTAACTGACTGTCATTTTTATTGTATCAAATTGGAAGTTTTCATGGAAAATTTCTTAGAGTTCTGTGAAGGAAGGAAAGGACAGAATGAATAAGAAAGCAAATATGAAAGCAGATTGCAGAGTAGACTGCGATAACAAATAAACAAGTCAGGAAGTAAGGCAGGTTGAGTGAACAACAACATTGATGACACTCTAAAAGTGCTCACAGATCCAATAGCAGTTGATGCCAGTTTCCAGTGTTTCAGCAGAGGAGCCTCCAGGGCCTAAAATAATGAGAAAAGCAATGCTTTGCAAGAGGATGGGAGTTGATTTGTGGTCTGGGGTCTTTTCTGCAGTGTCTAAGGTGAGCAGTGGGTCTTCGTTAAAAGGCTTTTATTCAAAAGAAATGTCTAATGAATGTATTTTTTATCTATTGATTCTGTCTTCTGATGCTGTTACTTTATCCAGTTCTGTTGGCTTCTGTTGAATTTAGACTGAGATAACTGAGGAAAGTACATGATACAGAATCTGCAAGCAGTCATGTGAGGAAGTTTAATTTTGCAGCAGCCACGGAAGTTTAATGAGCCCAAATTTCCCTTCTGAAGCAATTCATCAGCACTAGCCTTCATCCCAGCAGGGGCTGTCTGTCAGCATGTGCTGCTCACATCAGAGGACATGGCTTTCTGGTGCAGTGTGGAACAGTGGACAGATGAAAGTAGAAGCTAATGTTGATAGGATTGATGTTATAGAAGACCCTAAATGCTCAAGGTTGCTGCTCTACTGAAATAAGCAGGGACACAGCCTCCTCTTTGACAGGTTGCCATATCAAAGAGATCAAGGGAAGTGTAGCAGTGGTAGAAGACAAAGGTGTAGTTAAGAACAAGGTGAACTGAGCCCGTTGTTTTATATCCCCTGGGATCAATATTCAGACTTCATCTGTCCTTGTTTCTTGTTCTGTAAATTACCCTGCTAGAGGGACAAGTTGTAACGCACTGAAGCTAAATGACATAATAGAAAGATGAGTGGGAAACTCAAGGCAAACAGCAAGTGAAATCAGAGAGAAATAGGCTCTCCTTTATAAATTGCCTGACATGTGCCAAATGAAATGTAATGCTGACAGATGTAAAGTTATACTCCACAAAAATAAACACAAGCAGAAAACAAGTAGAATTGAGCTACAACAGAATGACTTTGACTAAGACCTTGAAGAGATGATGATACTTGCTCAGAAAATGGTCTGACAATAAGGGAAAGCAATTTGAAAACATGGGAGTCTTGGAATACAAAAGCTACACAGTGACATTTGATGAAATACCAAGAATGGTGGGAGTCTCTAACTCAGACACTGTGACTCAAAACAATAATTGTATAAAAGGAGGGCAAAATTTTCTTCCTGGCTTATACAGTATAATTTCCAACAGCTTGCCAGAGGCAATTGGATCAGGAGAGATTTTAAACACCCCTAGTACCTCTGTGAAGGTGGAAAAGAATATTGGAGGAATTTGTTTTACCTGCACTGTTATCACAGAAGATTCATGTGTTCTCATTTACAGCCTTCTCCCTAACACAGTGGTGGGCAAGGGCACAGTTCAGACTGTGAAATCTCATGTGGACACTCACTTTTTGGCCTCTTTCTTGACACAGTGCCTGCATCCCATACTCATACCAGAACACCATTCCAGTTCTAGGGTATCACTGGCTGGATGCATCTGTGGTTGCCATCTGTCCACTCTGAGTGGGGAGAGGTATGCAGAGCTGCACCATAAATTAAGTGCAAAATTAAGAACAAGCGCTGAAGAGATACCTGATCCATGCAGGATTATAAAATCTCTTTGGCTTCTCTTCTGGTGGCTTTGTACCTGTGTAATTCAGTTGAACCCTATAGAGCATTTTGTAAAACCATGCCACTTCCTTTCAATCCTGGGGCTTAGCACCTTTTGCTGTGAGTAGCTGTTTTCTTGTTTCACAAAACAGATTGTTTCCATGCAGATCAACTTCTTTGGCTGGGTAGGACATCAAGGTGAGATAGGAACATGACCACTTTCCTTGATACAAGAATCCTCCCTAGATCAGCATCAGAATTCTAATTCTTCTTACATTTAAAGTTAGATTTCAGTCAAATCTCTTGATGTAGTCAATGGAGAGTTGAATATTCCCACAGTGAGAGTCATCCCATCCTGAGGCCTAATATAGATTTGGAACTACTTACTTCTTTCCATCATCTGTGAGTAAAACCCAGACAACTGATTCAAATTAGATGTCTGCATTTTGGAAGATTGACATTAAGTTTACTCAGAGCTGAGGAATCTATTGTCAAACAGGATCAATTTCCACTGGTCTGATTTGTGGCCACCTTGGATTGAGAGAGGTGATTTCAAAGTCCCTCTAGGAAAGATTACTTACAGGTAAAGAAGAAAATTCTATTGCCAGCTTGCATAAATCACTAGACATTTTACAAGTAATGGAAATCATCTGTAGAGAGATACTTGGCCTCGTTTAGTGGAGCCATGTTTTAGTGTGAAATGTCTGTACTAACATGAATTAAATTAGAGAAGTAACATCATTGTACCTGATGGGATCATTAAAAATTACACACAGCAGAGCATTTTTAAATTGAACTCAGATCATTCCTCTCTGTTTTTTGTAAAAAGTACAGACCAGAGTGTGACTATTTCATAATACCGTATTGTAATATTATATGGGCAACCACTTATTGTACTTGAGAGTCAGTGTTTTCAGCATTGTGATTAATCCTTTATTCCACAGTAATCTTCTGTACTAAACTAAATTAGATCTTTTGAAAGTTGACTTCAAGAGGAATGGAGCAAAGTTGAGGAAATGGGGAGTTAGAATCATAAGAGTTTTACATCAAACATTCATCAGCCAATATGGATTCTGTACTTTGTATTGAAGGAAGCAGAATAAACTTCTTCACAATTTGTCTTCTGTTTTGCAAATTACTGTTTGGGCAATCAAATTTAAACCTCCTCTCTTTTTGTAATAGGGTAAAAACATATGACTGTGGAGAGAGAATTGCTGACTGGCTCTCTACATTTCTTGGTCGTCCATGTCGCTTGATAAGACAAAGTTCAGATGTGAAAAGCAGGCCACATCAGAAAAATACAAAAGGTATGTTGTAATTCTTAAAAATATTTGTGATTCCTCATGCAAATATCAGGCTCATGGACTTCACACTAAGTGTATAGGTACCCTGATAAAGGCAGAAAGAGTTATCCAGTGTTGATCTAGTCATCATTTTTATAACCAAACTGACTTTTTGTTAAATTTGGTGAAAAAATGCAGATGCACCAGTACAGGGGGGTGAAGTTATCATCATGACCATGATTTTGGCTGGAAACTCCAAGAACATTTGGAAAAATGATCATGAAAAATCTGAGAATCAGAGAATTTATTCAGAGACAAAATTTTATTATAAAAATAATTGAAAGAGAACTGAAAATGCATAGATATTGCTCTTGTAAACTATTTTTCAAATTTGGTCAAATCTCATCTCCATCCCAGTTTCTAACTGCATTGCTTCATTATCATTTGCAGGTTTGAGGTCATCCTTGGAATATTTCTTTAGTGCCTGGAACCAAATGAATAAGCTATTAATAAGAACGAGTAAGAGGTCAAAGGAAAGATGAGGTGATAATACTAATTTTTATGATCATTTTATAATGTTGGATTGATTGTTTTTTAGGTCTGTCATCTGCTACAAACATCTCACTCTCTCTTGTGAATGAAGCACAGTACCTCCTGATAAATGTAGCAAGCATTCTGCAGCTGAAAGAACATATTTCTGCAAGGTAAGATGCTTCTGTCTCCAAATGTCTCTCACTGATCTTAGATTCCAGAATCTTGCCATAAAATGCCAATATAGGTGTTTTATGTGGAAATTTAAAGATAGTTACTTTTCAACATTCAAAAATATATAGCTACTAAACTGCTATAATTACTAATTATTTTATGAATTCTGAAAGTTTAGATTAAATGCATGAGCATCATCTGTCTACCAATGATCTTTAGGAAAATTTAAATGAAATCTTTGTCAAATGAATTGGTGGAAAGATGTTATTAAGAACCAGCCAACTTTTATTTGTCAGAAGAACAAGGATAAGAGGGTTTTCTCAACATAAATTGTCTGGCAGGTAAAAATATGAAATCTTAGTAATGGCTGAATTATTTCTCTCCCATGGGAATTATTAAAATTTAGAGTAAATATGCACAATAAAAGTACTTTAAAAGTATTTTCAGGACTGGAATAATTTTATTTTGTAATTTAATTTGGCTTTATTTATACAAAAGTGGGAGATAGAAGCAGCAAATGAAACACAGAGTCAGTTCATAGTTCAAAGATAACAAACCCATTACTAACAAATTTTCATTTACAGACTATAAGATTTATTTTTTTTCCTTGAATATATCTATGAAAGGTTCAAATTTCACAAAAAATCTCTTCCCTCAAGGCCTCCACACAGGTCTGTGCATTCCACACCTCCAGCATTTGTCACTGCATTCCTTGTTTTTGTCTCTCAAAACTTCTCTCTTGCTTCTTCCTGGAGTCACCTCCTCTCCTCTTACACACCCACCAAACACGTCCCCTGCATTGAAAATTCCTGCTTTGAGTAGAAGAGGAATATATGTGTCTGTATATCTGCAGCAGGATATGTATATAGCTTCAGGATTTAAAACCACTGACTGAATGAAGCATCACTGAGACCACTAGAGCTTGCATTGTCTGAGGATTTTGCTTCTTTCGGAGAAGACAGTTGGGCAATTCTAGAATATCGTGGGAAATGTGTGAAAAGGTTTGAATTGGTCCATCTCTCAGTGTTTTGATTTATTATTTTTTTTTTGTCACCTTCTCAGTGACAATTAATGCCTTCTTGTGAGGCTTGACTGGCTGGGTTACATCTCCTTGGAAGGGCACTTCTTGCAGACATCTCTTGCTCAGGGCTTTTTTTGTTATAAGACTCAGTGAGGAACCTTCCAGACATGGGATTTGAGTGCAAAGATGAAGAGTAAGAAGCAGCACGTGAGGACAAAGGAGAACAAGGAACTTCAGTAAAATATTCAGTGTCAGATGATACACAGATTTCATGCCTAATGTCTTCCAGCACAACTAGGCTTGTAATCTCCCTTTCCTCAAAGGAAACTCTAGATGTGACCAGAGCTGAAATGGTGGCTGAGCAGCATCTTGCTTCTCACCCTGCAGTGTGAGTTGGAAGTGTCCTCCCTTCCATGCATTTTGCTATGCAGTGCCTCCTCCAGGTGCTAGAGAAATAAATTCAGATATACAGCACCCTCATTCTGCACTGTTACTAAATCATGGTGTATGAACTTTCCAAATATAGAACTATCCAATATGCTTTAAAGAACTGCACGTATGGGTCTTCATTAAATATTTGATGGTGTTTAGAAAGTATTATTTAGCTTCTTGGCATGTGGTTTTGTTTAATAGAAACCTGCTAAGTTTTACAAAAGAATTTCAATTTTCAATTAAGTTTCCATAATTTCACTTTGTATCTTCCATAAGTAAAAACTAGTCTTCCAGTTTGCACTTGGCTCTTGAGAGGTGATCTAAAACAGAAACAGCAATTCAATTAAAAATTAGAATGCAGTGTACTGTTGGAGGGCTACATGTACCTGCAGACATTCATCTCTCTGGTGTTTCCATTACAGGTCACCTCTATGAAAATCCCAATGGCCTGGCCTTATGCTCAAATGTTACTGTTAGAAATATAACCCTGAAGATATAAATACTAATTTTCAGGTTTGCCTATTAAATATAACTAACGTATTCTTCATCACAGAGCCCGCTGCTGTGACAATCCAAAGCACCTAGGCTGACTTTGGCACATTACACTGATTTTCAAAACAAGTCAGTGTTGGTATCTCCAGCATGAATGTACCTGCCACTCCATCCAACCAGTGCATGTTTTGTGGGAGGAGAAATAATGGAAATTTACTCAGATACATGTTGCCAAGTAATTATAGGTATTCTGAGGGCTGGGGGAGGTGCAAGAGAGGTGAGGTATTCTGGATGTGAGCCCGTGCAGGTCGAAGGCAGAGAGCTCAGGGATAGGGGCACTGCAGTCTTTGAGTTCAGCAGCAAGGGGTAGATTAGTAGAAGTTTGAAGTTTTTTTCAGCAGCTGCCTCAGGACACTGCAAGCCCAGCTCTGAGGTTACTGGGGCTTTTGATGCCCCTCCCCAGTACAGGCTGGGGTGGCAGGCACTTAGATTTTGAAAAACACATTGAAAACTAGAGGCTGTACAGCAACCAAGCTCCAAGAGCCCACAGCAAAGCTGGGAAGTACAGCAGCACAATTGAATGTGTTCACAAGTAACTGCTATTTTCCTCCTTGTTTGTATGAGTACTGGTATAATCTACTCTTCCTGTTGGCTCCCACCTCCTGCATTTGTTACAAATGGTGTCTGAGCCATGGGATTACCTGTGGGATCTTGAGGGAAAGCCTGTAGCCTTGCAGTTTCCCATCCCACCTTCTACCCCCAGGCTGCTGGAGCCCTTGTGAACACCAGGGCTTGGTGGAGCTGGGATTCTGTGGTTTGGCTGAAAGTCTGCACAGGCAGTTTATCCTTACGCATTTTTGTCTGTTAGAGGAGATCATCCAGACTGTTTTAAATAAAACCAAGCTCTTTTTTTTTTTTTTTTTTACCTAACAGGCCTCCTCTGCCAAGACTGCTTGATGAGAAGTTTTCCCTGTACTTTGATTTTGCATGTTTTTTCTCTAACTAAAATACATTTTAAACTGTATGTCCTTATTTTTTTTATTTTTTTTATTTTTTTTTTATTTTTTTTAATTTGGGGCAGAAATGCCTCTCTTCACTGCTTATCGAGGTTTCTGCCTCTGCTGTAGGATGTCATATTCCAAAATTGTCAGGCTACAGTTTATGGAGGATCAAAAATGGAGGATCAAATTGTCCTTAACAGCTAATGCAAAAAGAAGTGTTCTTCTCCACTAACAGTGACACTGAGAGAACCCTCTGGCAAATTTTACAGTGTCTTTTTTTTTTATTTTTTTTTTTTTCTGGTACTGTTCAAGTTCTCCTTTAAAAGAAGAGTGAAGAATGACAATTCGAAGATGCAGCAAGATTTCTGATATTTGTATGCAGTCTGCTGCTCTTTCTGTCTCATATACATTCTCCACACTGACACAAATCTACACTCTGGCAGCTCAAATGCTTATAAAGAGGGGGAGATATCACCACACCGAGATTAATTTTTTTTAAAACACCTATCGTTTGGTGGAATCTGCTGCCTCCCAAAGGCAAATAATAATAATATGAGGGATATATTCTCTCATAAAATTATTTTACTGGCCTTTTTCACCTTCAGCAACTGCTGGTTTTGTCCCTTCTGACATTGCAGCATGTGCAGAATAAAATTTTGTCTTTGGTTCTAGAAGCTTCTATTTCTACAATGTTTAACAAGTCAAATGATTACTAACTGAAAAGATCTTTTTATTTGTTACCATTAGACTTACATATGATAACAAATTGAGAATTTTCTCATATGCATGGTTCACAATCACCTGCCTACTTGTTTTCATACCTATGGTTCCAGTTTATACCTCTGAAAAAGCTACCTAGAGGGTTACATATTATAGTTGAGAGGTTACAAATTATAGTTAAATACTTTGTGCCCTTTCCATAGCCTTCGTAATAAAACTTGGTCCAGGTTATTCTGGAGAAGTGTTTGCTAATCACATGAGCCACCAGATTCTTACAGCACAAGCATCTATACAAAATTAGTTCATAATTTTATTTTTTCTTTTGCTGTGTCAACTCTGTGAGACAGATTGAAGGAGCCATTGGAAACAGAGGAATTGATCCGACGTTTCCGTGCCAACATTGTCATCAGTGCACCAGAGTCCTTTGAGGAGGAAGAGTGGGCTGAGATTTCAATAGGTGCTCTGCAGTTCCAGGTATGACCTTTTCTTTCTTGTCCATGTGCCAGTGTATCACAAAGAATTTAGATTCCTGGAGACAAACCAATTTTTTAAAGGCTTTGCCTGGAATATGGGCAGCATGCTTTGTGCAGGTGAAATTTATGAAGTGTGTAAAAAAAAAAAAAAAAAAAAAAAGTGATGTGTCCTGTGACAAACATACCTCAATATATTTAAGAGATTTTGCCATATTTCTACACTCTTTTATTGAATTTTGTCATTCATAGTATTTCTTATCTTTATCTATCTGGACTGAATAATAATCAGGCTTTTTGAGGCAGAGTTTACAGCCCATATTTAGCCAGCACATCAGCAGAGAATACTTGTTGCTGTTAAGCACAGTAGTCCAAATGTAGCCTCACATTACTGCAAATCAAGCAACTGATTGCCAAAAGACTGGACATGAATACAATTGAACACTCATGGTCTGTTGCCCTCTGTTGTATACATCTTATCCTAGTCTTCACTCAAGGAATGTTTCTAATTCTAGCATGGTAGGGTTTTTTGGTATGTTGTGCTTCATATCATAACTAACAACACAAGGTCCTTTATACTTTAAGGAAAATGCTGAAGAGTCAGACCTTGTTTGTAAATACATTCTTTCAAGAAAAACTCTTAACAAAAAATCTGTAAAAGGTACACATGATACCTAAGGGAAAGATGCACGTGTGTATTAAATGTTCTGCTGAATTTGTCTGGCCAAGAGATATGAAATATATATTTGAAGATGCTTTGCTTAGGATGTGAAAGTGGTTTATTCATTGTTTTCTTAGAGACTATAATTTAAGTGTGAATGACAGGGGTACTGAGGTCAAATCTAGAAGATATGATAGGCATCACACCTTTTTTTTTTTCTGGTCAGCATGCTGTAAGAAACTTTTTCAGCAAGGGTGGAAAATATTGCTTTTCTGCTCTCTTTCTTATGTAAGAAAGCAGTAAGCTGCAATGTGAGTTGCAGAAAACTGAGGAAAACGTCCTGTAAGAAAGAAATGAGGAACACAAAGGACAAAAACTGTGGTGTACAGCTTGTTGGAGGCTGGAGTTACATTGGGGAGTTCAGCTGAGGATCCTGTTAATAAGTTACTGTAAAATGACAAAATAAAAGGCATTCCTATTTCTGCCATTGATACACTTTAGGATTACAAGGCAAGAATAGAAATGCAACTTGCATTGTCTTTTCCCATTTCTGCTAAGTCCTTTTTCAGATACTGATGTAGTAACAGTAGAAATTATGTTAATGCTTCTTTATCCCGCAAAAATGGTAGAAGCTGTTGAACAAAGTAAAGCAGGGAAAAAATATTTCCTTCTCTGCCTTGTTGTTCTTTTAATAAAACAAAATTAGAGCTGTGGAAAATAATTTTCTAAAAGAGCTGATGTTTGGTGTTGATGATTATACTGAAGAGTTATACAAGCAGTCTAGATGCATTTCAAAAACCTGAAATATCACTTCAGATCAGCATATAAAATGTTTGAAGTATACAGCTTAATTATTTGCCCTATTTGAAATTTATGGCACATTTTACAAAAGTAGAATGTGTATACTGGGATACTGTAAGATGTAATTTCTGTAATGTACAGCTTTGCTAAAGTTAGGGATGCACTGTTAAGTGAAAGTGCAATATGTCATCCTTCTCCATTTTAAAGCTCTAAGAAGAAATTTGTTGCAGGATTTGTTTTCTTTATTTCCCCCCTAAAAACATACTTTAGTTCAAATAACAATTAACTTTAAGAACAATTACATATGATATTAACATCATCTATAATAGATGATAGAGGATGAATTATTTCTTCTGATTAGGTAAACTTGTATATTTAAATATTTTAGATTCTGAGTCTCTAAAAGTGTCATGCATATAAGAAATATATTGTGCATTTCAGCTGCACTATAACAGTCCCAAGAAAATCCTCCTTGGGTTGAATCCTGAGGCATTGGCTTAATTTTGTATTCAGCTTTTTGGACAAGCAGCCCTGCTAACCCACAGAAGAAGTGAAGCCATCAGGAACTACAAATATGTAAATGTCTGGTATTTCTCAGATTCTGTCTCTGAGAAAGTTTCCCTTAAGAAAAGAAAAAAGTGAATTAAAAACTCAGTGAGACTTTTGCAAGTAGACCTCACATCAGGCGAACAGACATGACCTTTTACATAATGAAAGTTTGGAAAACCACAGGAAAAGTATGCAAAAGGTATGTGTTTAAGATATTATGATGGTTGGAAGCTTGTACTGTTCAATGCTGTACTGCTTTGATAAACAGTCATGAACTTTCTTTAACTAAAATTTCAGGTTGTGGGTCCATGTAGCAGATGTCAAATAATCTGCATTGATCAACAGTCTGGGGAACGAAACAAAGAAATTCTGCAATCCCTGTCTGCTGCCAGAGGTAGAAAGGTCAGTACAGTACTTCAAACTGGTTGTAATGAAAGATGTAATGACTTTATTGCATGAGTAGTGAAATACCTGCTGAGAGAATATTCAGATAGGTTGTTACCATTTGGATTTTTTCTGTAAAAAGAGGATGCACTTACAACCCAGATATGGCATGGTTTACTTCTGTAAAATGCTCAATACATTTTTTATTCAGAAATGGACTATTAATATGCATTGTTTTTAACTCTGCTTGCTTTTATTCAGTATGTACTTTTTTCCAGTGTGTTTATTTTGGTCTTAAAAACACATGCTGATGCACTGATATCTTTTAAGAAAAGAAATACACTGAAAAATCAGAAACTGTTTGATATTATATAGTCAGCTTGTAAGACTAAACTTTTATTATTTATTTTCTTATCCTGAATAATTAGTTAGCAGGAAAAACAGAGCAGATGTGAATATAGTCAAAGTGGAGAGTAATTGCTTAGGAAAATGACCAGGAAGTAAATGTGAAATACAGGTGTTTATTTGAGGTCCTGCTTCCTAAGGTTGCATTACTTCTTGGAATGGAGAGAATTCAGATCGTTGCTAGACAGTTCGGCATCCCAAAAGCTCCACAAATCTTCTCATATGTATTTATTTAGCTGAAAATCCTTATTCAAAATTCATTGCTTCCTGTTGGTTAAGCTTCTGTTGTTAAAGTGTCTCTGGCAGTCGGGGCTAGGGAGCTTTGCCAGTACCCGCCAAACACCAGAGACGAGGTACAGCACTGGCACAGAGCAGTAACAAATAGGCTGAAAATCATTCAACCAGAGAATGCACAAACAATTTACAAATACTGCATTCTGTGTTTGGACAAAAAAGTAAAATAAAATAAAATAAATTGATTCTTCTCAGTGACTCATTAAGCAAACAAAGGGCTTTCTTTTCGTTGTCTGTTACCCTTGGTGAATAGCTCCTCTGGCTCCGTGTCAGAGCCACCCCAGTGCAGTGAGCTGGGGGAGGCGCAGGCAGGGCCGGCTGTCGAGGCACAGCTTCCCACTGACCTGAGGTGACTTTGACTTGCACAGCAGGCTCTGCCCCAGGTCACCACAGAACACTGGCCTTTGTGAGGTGAGCTCCTGGCCACAGAGGGTAGCCTGAGGACAAGGGCCCTTTCTGAGTAGTGGTGATCCACAGCTGCAGCATCTGGGACACTTCTGAGCACATTTGGGCACTTGGGACAGGGATGCTCCCTGCTGCCACATGAGGTGTAATATGCAGAGGACCTTTTCTGCCCATATGGGTTTTACTGGATTGTGACTTGAAACCTCTGTAGAGAGAAAGCACTCTGTATTCAGCGAGAAAATGGCAAAACCTTACTCGGGATACAGATTCTCAGGAGAGGCAAAGCATCTTCTTCATGTTTCCCACAGCAAAGATGAGCTCCTCTTCCATTCTGATTACCTAAACAACGAAGAGATTTTCTTGATGCACTGCTAGAACCAAGTGGCTCATTTGAACAGGACTAAGGCAAAGAGAGCAATCCAGCCTCTCGAGAAGAAGCTGGCACCGGATAAAAGCCGCACGGCGAGGCAGGCGCTGCTGATCACCGCGGGGGAGTGCTTTCTCTCCCTCAGCTGCGCCGATGTTCACGCTGCAAACACACGGGCATTCAGCCTGCCTTTATTTTTTTCCCAGCCTTCAGTGCTGTTGGCAGATGGGGTCTTGTGAGCATGCCCTGGTCTGCATAAGGGTGAGTCCCCTGGCATAGGTGACAATTTAAAGGGAGAGTTTGAACTGGTAGCTTTGCCTGGTCTGGTCCGAGAAGACCTCTGAGTCCATTGCTCCTGCAGGTCACCTCTGTGGTGATGGGCACCAGCTGATTATCAGTAAGCAGCACCCAGGAAGGACTACAGCATTTTCAGTATGCTCAGCAGACCTAACAGAGGACATCGATCCAAACCTTTCACAGCTCTCAGTGGGTAGAGAGAAAGAACATCCAGTTCATGTGACTGTGTTAAATCGCAGAGCTAATCCTTTGGTGACTCATGTCTCTACCATGTGCTTTTCTGCTAAAGAGTCATCTAATAGACTTAATTTTCTTTTCTTTTTTCTTTTTTTTTATCAGATGCAGATTCAGTGAAGGAATTCAGCAGCATTTGCTCCCATCTGTCAATAATCTAATTCAAACTCCAAAAAAAACTGTTGGAGAAAAATAAGATTTAAGATAATTTCCCAGGTTTTTGGAAAGCTGCTGTAGCAAGTTGATTGCCAGACCATTAAAGACACAGCACATAGAAAAGGGAGACAGATGTCAATATTTACCATTTTATTTTGTTTTTTCCAAGATTACGAACCTGAAAAAATTACATTGAAATTTATCAAACAAGTACCCCAAATGGCAGCACTGCCAATGAACTTCAGTAATAACCTAAATAATGTAAGGCTTGTGAGAGGTAGTTCGATATTTATTTATAAAATCCTGTTTTTCTCTATTCCTCTGAGACTCTGATAACCTGGTGCTTCAAACTGAAAGATGGAGCCTTTGCATAGATGGATTGCAGCTGAAAGTCAGCTACTGTAACCAGCCACACAAGCAATTTGCATCTTTCCTGATAAATGTAAAGCATTTTCCTGATTAAAGTGCTGAAGCCTTGCCAGCTACTTTTTACAACACCTTTTATGTCATTGTTTGACATAAAATGTAAACACCTCTATAAAGTGAACTTGAGCTCTGCTTCCTGAAGAAAGAGTCGTAAAGGATTTCTTCTGTAATTTTTGACTGGAAAGATGAACTCTCCTCCTGTGACAGAGTGCTCTCTGTTACTGCTGAAGATTAGGAAAGACTAGGTAACTCCATTAAGCAAATGGCTACATGCTGTTCCACATGCCTCACCACCTGACACAGCGCACACATGGATGGAAAAGGGAGAACACAGAATTCCTGCCTCTCTCTGGTGTTTTGCAGATGCTGTTTAGCGCTAATGATAGCGGAAGCCCTGTGGGTAGATTTTCAGCAGTGCTATGAGCTGGGACTTGCTGTCAAGGTAGCAAAAGGAATTACTGCATTAGCAGTCTGCCCTGGTCTCAGTGTACGGATAGCAATACATCAAGGGAAATCCATTATGTTTGCACATGCCTTCATACACTAAAAGGCTTGTGTTTTTTCCTGGCAGCTGTTGATCCTCCTTTAAGTATCTCGTTGTGCCTTGGGAGATCTTCTTTTCCTGCAGTTAGATGCCATGCCTTTGAATTGCTGAAATTACTGAAATGTTAGCAAGGACAGCAAATAACCTCATATCTGATGTGTCATTATCATTATTTTCATAGTAATGCAGGGCTTTGCACCATGCAATGCTTTTCATTCAAATATCTGGTGCATTTGAGAACAGTGATTGTTGTAATTAATAGGCCTCTGAAATAGTATGGTTCTCTTTTCTCATTGGTGGCTGAACTGGAAAATGCATTTATTTAAGGTAGAGCAAAGGAAAATCAGTTTTTAAGGAAACATTCTACAGTCCAGATATTTTCAACAGAACAGCAGGGGGTTTTATTGACACCAACTTAAAAATTTCCCCTTGTCCAATATAAAAATCAGTATGTTAAAAGTGAATACTCCACTCTCCTATTTTGTAAGGCTTTATGTTCTAGTAAATGTAAAGCAAGTAAAACATTATTACATAAAAAAAAACCCAAAACAATTTAATAATTGCATCTCCCAAATCTTTGGATGTGAGGGAGGTTATGTTGCTGTATGAATAAATTATCAGATCTGGACAGGTAAATTTATCTGCTGGGATATGGCAGCTGAGGGCTACATCTGTGGGCAAGATCCAGAACTCACCCATCCAAAGCTAAGTATTAGCAGGCAGGATGATTTATGTGTTTGTTACACATTCTAGCAGTGTATTTCTCTACCAGGTTCTACTCTGTGTTAACTCATTCTTTAGGAGCTCAAAGGCATCTCACCTCAGGCTTTTGGCAGATGTAGCCCCTCAGGTTTCTGTCTTACAAAAGAGGATAGTGCACACAGGGTATTTCTCTGTCACTGAATTTCTCAGCAGAGCATATTACTGTTGATCCAGTAAATTAACTTGAAACAACATGCAATAATGACAGCACTTCATAGCTCCTCCTTTAAGTGAGTGTGATGACTATCATATGATTCACTGTTGGCAAGAATATGTATGTTTTCTCTGTTTCTCCCAGCAGTGGTCTGCTTTTTCCTAATCAAGAAGCTGTGAATTTTTTTGTCCCTGTAACATTTTACAGTCGTGGGAAGAGTCTCTACTGCCAGATAAAGCCACAGAGTTCACAGTCCTGCACTCCCTGCCCAGTTCTTGGTGTGTTCTGGGAAGATTATATGCACAATAAAATGCCCTTGAAGTCGGGAAAAGGTAGCAGCAGCAGGCAGAGATTATGCAGTTCACTTTAATAACTCTGCAGGGTGTAATCTGTGTCTGAAAGCCCCATTTTTCATCAGAAATGTGAGAAGGGCGAGTTTCTACATTTTGTCTTTCTCTTGAAACAGAGCTGAAGTGGCAGATGCAGCTTTTGTGGTTGCTTGGCAGGGGTGTGTGTGTATGATTGCTGTTATCAGTACTTTCTGAGTCATTATTTGCAATTGTTGAAAAAAACAGGGAAATTTCCTTAAAAGATGTTAAATCCATGTCTGGCCATCAAAGGCTAAATTTTGGATTTAAGAACATTCACCAGAAAAAAAAAAAAAAGAGTTGGGTAATTCCAAACTGGCATTACTACTAAAATCTGTATACCATCAGTATATCATCACCTTGGAAACTCCTTAGGCATTACTCACTGAAAAAAACACGGAGACTTTAGATGCCAAATCAGAGAAGGAAAATACTAAGGACCAGTATTGAAGCAGTTTTGAGAGCTCCTGAAGACAAGATGCATTCAAACATGTGTTTTCTTAAATAATTCTGAATGTTTTAAGGTGCATTAAAAAAAATCCTGCTAAATGATTTTCAATAACAAAAATTGGTAAATGAAGTTCTTCACAGTGAACAATCTGCCCAGATTTATTTTAGTCTCATTTTAAGATACATCAGGATGACAATACAGTAAATATAAATAAGACCGTCTCATGCATCAGATAAGCTCATTTACATGGATGAGTTATAAAATTCCTTCCTGTGTGAAATATGATGTAGCATGAATTAGTATTAATTTTACAGCATTTGTTTTATAATTGCCTGATTTTTTAAAAAATGAAATCATGACAGTTGTCGTTTTTGCATTAGGGTATAGGAGGTGAATCCAGCTTATTAACCACAAGGCTGAAAAATGCATCGTTTATGCCAATGGAGAAACTTGTCAACTAATGAGAGAAAAGCAAAAATGGAAAAATGAGACTATGCACTTTAATATTTTAAATTGAACAGTTACTAACACCATTACAGCATCACAGATGATCCAACAGGGTCACTGTGCTAGAGGGCTGGGATCTTACAGTGCTGCAGTGATTCCTCAGCATTAACTTTGGAACACTGACCACAGGGATGTACCTGTGTCCACCAAGCACTGACACAGTTGTAGCCACTGGTACCCAAAAAGTGCCAGCAGTAGGATAGGCCTGATAGGTCCAGATCATGCCCTCTACATGTCACATACCAGTGAGATGAAGGAATAGCAGAGGGAGCCAAGAACACCTAAGCTTAGGGCCTATTTTTCTCATTGATGTTTAGGATTACAAATGAAACAGAAAGACACAAATTCAGGGTCTGAGGCCATGTCTGGATAGATCTCTGCTTTACAGCATCTCTCTTACTTGGGAATAAGTCTCAATCTTACCTCTCATGAATTCTTCAAAGACTGATAACTGTTCTGTGTTACCTCATTTCTGTATCTTTATTTAATTACACAATGCAAAAGACAACATACTGCATTCATATTTAGTCTGTAACTCATCTTTTTTTTTTTTTTTTCTTTATTGCAATCCCTTTTACCTACTATTTTTTTTAAACCTGCTCTAAATGTAATTCACTCAGTTTCAGGATCATTGAACTGAACAATGGCAGTAAATGTAATCAGGAAATAGAGGATAATAGAATTTTGTTTTTAAGTAATTTCATTTGCTTATTTATTTATTTATTTTACACTTTATAATGACTTGTATATTTTGACTGTAGTCTACCAAAGCAAAATACTTTTTTTTGAAACCTACAAAAAGAGACAAGAATATGAATATTGGGTTTCCAGGGTCCTCAGTTTAAAGATCAAAGACATCCTGAAGTCTAAAAATCTGTTATCAATTTAACATGATCTTCAGTGTTTCTTTTTTTCCTACTTTACATATTTTTGATTAACTATTATCTAATTCTTTGGAAAATATTGTCACGAGATGACAAATCTTTTTCTTGCATATTTCTAAATTCTCCACTGCTGGAAAACAAAACCACAAAACCACACCAGTCTCTTCCTGTGACATTTCCAGATCACACCCACAACTGTAGCACTCAGCTGCTAGAGATCAAGATCTCACATAAGAATGCAGGCATTCAGATCAGGTCTTTGGTGTCTGTGAGGGTTGCATGGTCAGGGGCAAAGTGGATATTCTATTCTTTTCTTTATTACTTAATATCCCAAAGACCTATTCTAAGTATTTCTACTATTTATGCAGGATGGATTCACAGGTAATGACACTTAACAACAAGTGGGAGCAATGATAAAACAAACTTTCTGAATATTTTCCGTAGAACATACTAAAATATACATAAAAACAAATGAAGGGAAACTCACAAAGGCTAGGCAGAATAAAGTTCTGTTAACAAAGCGAATAATTCATGGTAGGAGATGCAAGACTTCCTCACTGTTGGAACATACCAGTGTAACCATGCTGTAGAGTCTTTGTGACAGTACATTACTTGTAATTGTCAAGGAGCCAGAGCAGACATTAAATAACAAGATTGTGAGGAAGTATGAATTACATATATCATACTATGGAGCTCATGATGAAATAGTGTTATTTGTCCACTTACTCAAGCTATTCTTCTTGAATAGCATGGCATTAGCTTCTGTTTACTAGCCTGTTATAATTAATGACTTAAGAATGTTCTTAATTACATGGACATGGTAAATGCCTCCTTATTTTTAAAGCAATATTTTTTTTCTAAACATATCCGTGTTGTGAGATCATCTATAGATTTGATTACTCTAACATGTGTTACATCTTAATAAATATTTTGCTTTTTTTCAGACAAACTTCGGCATATACCTCATGAACCAGCCCTTGCTCTCATCCTTTTCAGATGTTTTATCAGTTGGGTCTCAAGTACTTCCAGTGCTGAAGGAGAATACAGAAATTCAGCCTCCGACATCCAGTGAAGAAAAACGTTCAGGATAGAGTCTCTGGTGGAGATGAAATTTTTATGCAACTACAGGGAGAAGTCAGTAGTCAGTTACTCAAAAGAAAGAATAAGCTTCCACTCATTTACTTCTGATAATTTTCTGTTTGCTGTAAATGTTATCAGATGGCAAAACTGTTGATAATTACAGCTCACCTACATGTTTTTGCTTGTGATTATGTTGCAGCAGCCATAACTCTATTTTGCACAATTGCTTCAGGATGCAACAGGTTTGATCAAGTCTTACTGGTAGATGACTCCCAAAACAAGCCCAGTGTTGTTGTCAGAAAGCCACATCTCAATGAAGGAAAGTAAACACAATCATACACTACTTCCTTCTACTGCTTCATCAAAACCCTAATTAGGAGTGAGGATGCAAGACATATTTTAGAAACAATGTGGGTGGGAAGAGAACAGTGGGAGAGTGGCATGAGAGTAGCAGTGCATTCAGCTTTTCCAAATGAAAACTGAAGGTGACGTGTAGACAGTCTGAAAGCAATGGAAAAGAGGGAATTATTGGGAAATCAGTATCTCCTTTTTCAGAAGTAGTGTGTGAGAATGCCAACAAGGCACAAAGATGATGAGGATTCAGGATGCCGTTTGCAAAACACATTGCCTGTGAAGGAATGCCATCCATTTGTTCTCAACTTCTTTCTCTTCCATTTGTCACTTTTCTGTGTGATTTATTTTACGTGATGTCTTCCTTGGGATTTTCTGTGTAATAATGTCCCTGCCTATGGAAGGGGAGTTGGAGCTAAATGATCTTCAAGGTCCCTTCCAACCCAAGCCATTCCATGATTCTGTGAGTTCCACACTCTTGTTCCCTTATGTATTTGTGGATGCTGACACATCATTTCTAATTAGAGATTTTTCAAGCAATACAGTCATTTTCTATACAAACTTTGTTCCTCCTCAGCAACATCTAATGGCCACTTAAGGGAACTCAAGAGTTTGAATGCTTCTCCATCGAAAACAGGTCAAAGTATTCTTTTTTCTTACTCTTTGTTCATTTCATAATGCCCTTCTTAAACAGCTGTTTGAAGCTCCTAAACAAGACTCATGTTTTATGATTTATGAGAGCAAATGTCTGAAACCTTAGTCTGAAGTATCAATTATTGGGAAAATTACGAAAAATAAATTTAGGAAGACATGGAGCAAAAATGAAAACCCACATGGAAAGTCTGTGTAAATCAAGACTGAATACATTGAGGCCAGGTGTTTTATGACCCTCAACATGTGTCTAGCTAGCCATGGGATGATTTCATGCTTCTAGGAAGTCCTTCTGGAAGACAAAATTCTCCTAGACTGGCTGCTCTATTGACATCTGGGAAGTGAAATTTTGACCCTGCTAAAAGCACAATAAAAACTCTCACCCAATATGATTTAGATCTTCCTTGGGGCAATGTTGGCTCCAGCTGTGTGTGAAAGTGCTTCTGGCTGAAGCAGTCCTTGAGTTGTTTGAGCATATCCCCGGAGGGAGGCAGGCGGCTTTGTGAAAGAGTTGGTCCAACAGCCATTCTGAAAGGAGAGCGACTACCACAGAGCAGCATAGAATGGGAAAAAGGAAGCTCATCACCCAGTGCACAAATCAGAATTAAAAAATGCTCTTTCTTCTTTCTCTCTTTCTGTTTTTTTTTTTCTTTTTAAATGCATAATGGTTTCCTTTTTCTTTTGTTCTTTTGAAGAACTGGTTTTACTCACTTCAGTTGGAACAGTCTCTCAGCAGAGCTTTGTAATGGAAATGAGAAGAAACATTATCTGTTTCTTACAATCTGCCATAAAATAGATGGAAAGAGAGAGGTTTTTCATATGTATGTAAACTGAGAATCTGTTTTCAGAGTTGTACCTTCCACTTCAGAGCCCGAGGTCTGCTCCTTGATGCCTACTTTGAAAAGCAGGGGGTTTATCTCTCTAACAGTCAGTTATCTGAGGTTGTAATGAGCAGGCTTTTTTGGAACCTTGAAAAGCAGTTTCCTGGTATCTAAATCTCTTAACTGCTTCACTCTTTGCCTTTCTGTTATGCAGAGCATTGCTTTGTTGGGTAGAAAGCCAGCATAGTTCTGACAGATTAAATATGAAGAGACCTGTTGTATGCTGACCTTCAGTGATCTCTGGTGCTCTGCTCTGTCCTCTTCACCTCACCACTGTGGCATTTGTTTAACGTGGCACAGAATTTAGAAGAGGAAATTGAAAACAACCTCAGAAAGCTCTGTTTCACTCATTATTGCATTTAGTACAAAATAAGTCACTTTGGTACACAGTGGGTTGACAAATACTGTTTGTGAGTATCCATAATGCAATGTATGATAACTATGGATGAGAGGATTTGAACTTTAAAAATGTCATGCTTGGTCATTTTGACCTATTATTTACAGTCAATTACACATTCTCTCTACTGTGGCTTAGCAATATTAGATCAAGAATAGTTTTGCCATTTTACAGGGGAAAAAGAAAGATTTTCTTTGATGTATGAACATACTCATTAGTATAGTCTGCATTTCCCAGAAGGAACATCCTTGTGGTGCAGTGGTAGGAAATGTCACTACACTTCAGATTGATGGAAGATATATAAGGAATCTTTCAGCTAAATAAAGGATAACATTTCCCTTCTAGTAAGTGGAGTGTTCCTGCCAGTACTGATATGTCTTTCCATCGATGGAGACAAATTCTTCTAGGTTCCAAAACTGTGGAAAATCTTGAAGTATGAAGAGTCACTTTAAAATGGCATGAAATGTAAGTTTTCAGAAAGAACATCCCTCCCATAATGTGAAAAAATAATTCAAAGGAAGGAGAAATTTAGCATACTGTAACCCCAAGGACTGCAGATACAAAAGGGGCACAAACACTTTGAAACACTATATAAAAAGTATATTTTCTGTAAGGGTTAATTTCTTAACTTTTCAAGTATATAGAAAATAAGACTATTTCATATGGATATGGGCTCTTTGATCTAAATACTCTGACTACTGCAAAATGAAACCTTTGGAATAATTTCAGATATATGTTTGCCTTATATGGATAATGAATGTACTTAATACAGCATAATATAATATTAATATAGCACCAGAGTGCTATATGTAGAAAGTCCTCTATATATTTGAAAACCAAATCCTTATTTACTTGCAATGAATTATTCAGATACATTCCATTCTCTGTGAGACTTAGTTCCTTCTCAAATCTCAAGGTAAAAATGGTGATTGTTACAAGCTCTAATAATAGCCAGGAGGCTGAAATCACAAAACAGAAATCAGCATTTTTAGGAGAAGTTTCTGAGCTCTGTGTTTTCTGATATGACTAAGACATTTCAGATTATGATTTAGCTACTTTCAGTGATATCCTTCAAAGTATAATAAAAATTTTAGGTCATCTTTCTGTCAAAATTACACCCAAATCAAAATGAAGGACTGCATTAAAAATGTGATTATTCTTCATAAATTGTAGAGATTATGCTATGCAAATGTTCTTTCATCTGGTTTTTAACTTCCTTGGAAATTAAATCAATAAAATAGATATTGTGTTTGATGTGTCTGCTGGTGATGGTTGCATTCCTGACCTTCGAGCTCATGAGGTGCTCAGTTCTGCTTGGAGGCATTGCTGGGCACACGGATGAGTATGTGGCTCAGGACTGAAAGGATGTCACATCGCTGCTGGGATTCACAGGGGAGGTGTTCCTTCCAGCTGTGTAGCCACATGCCAGTCACCTGCACACTCAGGCCCTGCACAAAATGTGCTCATAATCACTGGTTTCCTTTAAAATATGTACAGTCAGTCCTGTTGAATCCGTCTCTGTTATCCAGAGGTCGGAGCTTTCTCCAAGGGTGAGATGGTGAGAGATGGTTTATTTCCCTCTCCTTTGCCCGGAGGAATCCAGCACTGTTTTTCCTCACAGTCTAACCTGTTGGTAGGGGAGACTGAGCAGGAGTTGGTGTGTGTAGGAATCTCAGGGAAGGCTTGTCCCTGCCTTCTCATGAGGTTTACATGGAAATGATCTGTGACTCCCAGGGCCAGCAAGAGACAGACATGAATGAGCACAGTGAGGCAGGATCCACACATGACTTCGAGCTACTTATTCATGCATTTTTTGATTCACTGAGTGTGGGAGGGGAAGAAGAGCAGGACTCTGTAACCCCGCAGGTAGGTCACTCCCATGGAGGTGAAATGTGGGTACATCCCTGTCTCTCCATTATACACCTACCATGAGGCAACTGCTTGGGGAAAACATAGGCATAGCCGCCAGAGAGGGGAGGAAAAGGCAGAATGCTCCTTTCCACTGGGCATTTTGAGACAGTAGGTTTGCAGAGGCAGCCTTGTCTTCTTCCTCTGGCTGCCAGTGTTTAAGGAAAAGGTGGAACTTCATCAAGAATAGAGAAGAACCTCCCAAGTGTGTTTTGGAATAGGCCATTAGGGGAAATATGAGTTTGAGTCATCAAAAGATGAAATCAAAATGTAGCTACATTATTGGCTTCTTGGTAGGTGTGCTGGTGGCAAGGCCAGAGCGAACTGGAAAAAATGTGGGAGAGAAAGAAAAGTGGCTTTTCCTATAGTCAGAGTTTAAGAGAAAGTTGTGATGCACATGCTTTCATCATCCAGTTTGTGACATTTTTTTTCCACAAAATACAGGATGTAGGTATCCTCGGGGCCATAAATCTCATAGTGAGAACTCAAAGTCATTGACAGAGAGGTGCCTCTTAAGGAAGGCACCATTTAAGAAGCTTCTCTTCCCTCCTTTTTGTGCCAGCCAGTTGCTTTACTGGTCACTTGGTGAGGTGGTGGTTGTGGATTTTTTACAGAGGGAAAGAAATTAGGCAGTTTTCCTGCAAGAGGAGTGAAGTGACTCACTCAGGATTCTGGACAAGAAGAGACGTTAGGGAAGTTTGAGATGGGGCATCTTTGGGCATCACTGTCATGGGCAAAGTACATCAGAAACCTCCCTAATAATCCTAGAAATATATGCTACAAAAAAGTCATTTTTTTTTTGCTGATGCTGTGAAGTCTTCCTGTAAAGGTGATACTCAAGAATTGTGCTTTTGGGGAACAGATCATTGCAAGGGCAGGATGGGGAAAGAGGACAAACAAAAGAAAAATAGATGTTGTAGCATTTGCCACCCAGAATTTCTGAGCAGTTTCTTAAAAACCCACAAGGTAAGACAAAATTTGAGAAATCAGGGAATTTGATTTAGTACAGCAGTTTCATGGCAAATTTAAAAGGATATAAAATGTAAAGCCCCTATGAGCCCTTGCATGGCTTATACATAGCCTATAATTAGATACTTTTCTCTGTTAAACTAAATTTCTTCTGTGAGCCAGTCTATTCCAAACTTGCAACCAAAACTTCTCAACACACTTTAAATCTGGAACTCAACATCAGCTTCTCTTAGATAACCAGTATATTCCATATTTGAGCCCCACTCATGCTTTTTGCTGGATTTCAGAGGTGTCCCATGTGGATTAAAGCACTCTGGCCAGGATTGCTAATGCAGAGACAATTCCTCAGTCCAGAAGTGAAATCAGCTTTTGGTTTCTAAAAGGGCTGTTTTCCATGAAGCTGTGTTTTAAAAGCCAGCAGTGATCTAATATCAAATCTGTTGTTTCCTGGTACTTATGACAGATGAATCAGATAAAGCTGTTGAAAAGTTTGTGAATTATTATTTCCAGAAGCTACAGAAAACTAGAAGACTAGAGAAGGCCTTTCCTTACAAATGGAGAAGAGCCTCTGTAGTAGCCATCATTCATGGATAAATTCCTGTGAGTCATGTATTAAGTATTTGCCATTTCAGTGGTTTAGCCAAATGCTTTCAATTATTTCTTATCCTTGGAGCCTTTGCATTTTCTGTCAAAGTTTCTCCCAGCAAACCCTTTAATAATAAAATTAAATTAATTTTTTTCTTTGGTCAAATGTTTGTTTTTATTCTGCTTTAAGGAATAAGAGGAAGTAGTCTCAAGTTGTGTGACAGGAGGTTTGTGTTGGATATTAGGAAAAATTTCTTCATGAAAAGGGTTGTCAAGAATTGGAATAGGCTATCCAGGGAAGTGGCTGAGTCACCATCCCTGGAGGTATTTAAAAGACAGGCAGATGTTATTCTCAGGGACGTGGTGTAGTGGTGGACTTGGCTGTGCTGGATTAACAGTTGGACTCCATGATCTTAAGGGTGTTTTCAAGCTCAAATGGCTCTATGATTGTAAGAATGTAAGTTTTCTGTGTTTGACTCGCTATCCAAAGCTCAATGTAGTGATTTAATACACTTGAAAAGAGAAGGTTCTTGTCTGGGTTGCTTCATCTGTCAGCCAGAACTTTAAAAAAAGCTCCAGTGTTCCTGAGAAATGTCTGGTCAGTTAGAAAATAGGACAAAGAGAGAGAGTGAGAGAGAGCACAGCAGCCCAGGGACAATGTTGGAATGCTGCCACTGCTGCCCTGTGCTGAAGCACAGGAGTTCTATATTGTGGCCAGAAATAAATTTTTGGAACAATTGAAACCCAACAGTCACTACCAATTCAGCTTACCAGCCTCAGAGGACTTACATTAACTACTTGTGCGTGTTTTCTTCTGAGGGAAGGACTTTGTCAAAATCTTATACTATTTTATGTCTCCTTCTGGTATCATGGAGTCACTTGGTATTCATTTAGTCTCATTTGCTGTTCCCCTGGCACAGCATGGCAATTTGGAGCTATTTATTGCAAAGTGAAGACTATGTCAAGGAAGAGAAAATCTGAGGTTTCATTGAGTGGGTAATGTGAAACAATTGGTTAAATCAGTCAAGCAAACCTGAGAGATGTATGGAGCAGGGACCTGCATGAAACATTGGGAAAAATGTAAGTGGATTCCTACCAGCCATTTTTGTTAAGTGCAAAGACAATACAAACCATCAGTCATGTATTTAAGAAGCTATATGTGATCTAAATGAGATTGTCACATATTGCAATTAGCATATTTATCTGCATATATATTAAATCAATATTCTGCTTCAAATAAGAATTTTTTTGGATTGGGAGGGTCATTATAACCAGTGTTGTATTTCTTCTGATTGCATCTATCATCCCCAAAATAGTGATGGGAAAAATATTTGTTTAAATTATAATTTCCATCTAGTAAGAGGAATTGAACCTTGAAAACACCTGAACAAGACACAGCTTTCTGAATTGAGAGACTACAAGTTAGCTGAATGATGATACTACACAACCAGCCATTTGGAAAAATGGCCATGACACTTGTCAAAGAGAAGAAAATTTGGAGTGATTCAGCACTTAGGAGGAGAAGCATACAGTCAGGCATCACGTTACGGCTCAAAAGGAACTCTTGCTGAAAGAGAAATCCCTTAACATGCACACACATCTCTCTCAGAAACTGCCCAAATTAGAACATTTACTTTAAGTAGATGTTTTTATTTTTCTAAAGTCTCTGGTGATAAGCTTTATGCCAGAAGGAACAGGTAGAGATTAAGAGGCAAAGCGGTACCAGATGAAATGTTCCAGAACACAATAATGGAATGGGTTTTTTTTAATGAAAATGCCATACTTTGACTTTCCCTACCCTCTCTTGGTAGGGAAAAAATTAAGTTTAAAAATAGTATGAAAAGAAGTATAAAAGTGAATAATGGAACTAAACAAAACCATCTAAGCCTTATAGAATGCATTAATATAAATAAAAGCAATTTTTTTTGGTTTTGAACATCCAAACCACAGTTCATCTTACCAGTTCCTGTTATTACAGCCCCCTAACTACCAGATCATGGACAGAAGTCACTGAAATAGTGATGTTATCGACTTATGCTTTACAAAAATATTCATGCTGGATGTGGGCATGGAGATAAAGTTGCTAACCAATGTAGTTATGGGACAAAGCAAACCTTAAAGTCATACATGAAGGCCTCATGAAGAGATGCACTCTTTCTCAGAAGGAGGAAACTTCTGACCTGAATACTGCAATGAAAAGCTGAAAAGCTTTGTTGCTATAGCAAGACTTACTGGTTCAGAAACATCATGATTTTTGACCTCATGATGCTGGCATTAATGTGACATATGCTCACCCTTTCTTAACCTGGATTTTCCTTGGAAGAAATAACTGCAGCTGGCAGGAAGAGGATGTCTGAACATGAATGGCAGAAGAGATGAAGCCTCTTAAGATCCTGTAAGTAGAAAAAGACCCCTTGCTCCCCTTAGGGCAATAGAAGCCATGAGCCCAGTAATCCATCTGGAAATGCAGCTACAGATTCATGAATGGACTTGAAAATGGGGAAATGTTGCCTTAAAAGTGAACTCTCCCCTCTATCTTTCAGCTATTTCCCATTTCTGTCTAAAAGTAAAGCTGGATGAAAACACCGTGAGATTAGAAAACTGTGTATTTCAGTGTGAATCCTTTTTCATTACAAGCCAGTTGCCTTCTCATTTAATGAGCCAAAATACCGGCATGAAATAGCAACTTAATAAATTTTTAAAAATTTGTATGATGGGCTTTACATTAATTAATTCATGTGAAATTTTGGGTTGGGTGATACTAGCATTCATTAATTTCTGGTTAGCCTCTTGGTC